AGATAGATAGATAGATAGATAGATAGATAGATAGATAGATAGATAGATAAGCATCCTGTTAAAAGTAAATAGATAGATAATAGATAGATAGATAGATAGATAGATAGATAGATAGATAGATAGATAGATAGATAGATAGATAGATAAGCATCCTGTTAAAAGTAGATAGATAGAGAGAGAGAGAGAGAGAGAGAGATAAGAACTTTAATGTGATGGGAAGCCAAGCATGGTGACTCAGCTTGGAGGCTGAAGCAGGGTGATCAGTATAAATTTGATACCAGCCTGGACTTCATAATGTGTTCCAAGCCAGCCTAGACTACAAAATGAGATTCTGTCTCTAAATAAACAAATGATATGTGTATAGTATTGATTTATATAATAGAGAATTGTGATTATTTGGGATCTATATTTGTATACTTAACTAGTCTCTTTCTTTTTTCACCTTGCTTCTTTGATCAAGCTATATATGTTTCCAAAGTAATACCAGAATTACGATAAAGTCAGTGGCTTACAAGACAAAAACATTCTGTCACTGTTGTTTGTTTGTTTGTTGAGACAGGGTCTCACTCTGTAGCTCTGGCTGTCCTGGAACTCACTATGCAGACCTCCACCTCACAGAATCTGCTGGCCTCTGCCTCCCTAGTGCTAGAATTAAAGCAGTGCGCCCTGTGCCTCCACATGTACCACTGGTACCATTCTTGATCTCTAGCATTTAAAAGTTGAAGTGTCTGTATCGTTCCTTTCGATGGCTGAAGGAAGAGTCCCTTTTACTCTAACTAGTGTCCAGCATCTTCCAGCTGCCCTGGAAGTGCAGCACTCCAGTCTCTGAAGCTATTTCCTCATATCCTTCTTTTCCAGGTTTCTCTGTGCCCTTCTCTGTCCTTGGTTTGAGGCACCACTGTACTCCAAAAGAACCTAGTCTCGCCACTTATATCCACTTATATCCTTATATCACCTAATTATATCCTTAAAAGTCCATTTCCAAACATGTTCATACTCTGGGTTTCTAGATAGTCTGGAATTGTTTAACCCACAATAAGCATTGTGTCTAAGCCTAGTTTACTTTTAATGCTGCTTATACATTTTCACTGAGGTAGACTGTTAATGGAACTACATAAAAATATGGCCAAATATCAGCAACATGATAATTATAAAAATTGTACCTCCTAAGAACCAGAAACTCCAAGAGATAACACAGCAACTTCTAAGTACACAAGAGGATATGAGTAAGATGCAGGAAAAGATGATTGAAATGGAGAACTTAAAGAATGAATTTAAGAACCAAGGGTTGGCATTGGAACGCATGGAAACAGAGAGACTTGAGTTGGCTCAGAAGCTTAATGAAAATTATGAGAAGACGAAATCTATAACCAAAGAAAGAAATGATCTAAAGGAATTGCAGAAGTCATTTGAAGTAGAAAGACAACAACTTAAAGAGTATGCAAGAGAAATCGAAGCTGCGGTAAGTAATACCATAGCCTTTTCTTTCTCTGGTTCTTTAGTAGCTATTCAGCTGGAAAGAGGGCGGCGGTGTTAGGGAAAATGCTATAAAATTCTTTACGTTTCACTTACTGACCAAGGGCCTACAAACAAAAGAAGAACTAAACATTGCTCACATGAAACTAAAAGAGCACCAAGAAGTCATCAAAGAGCTAAGAAGAAGCATTTCTGAGAAAGAAGCTCAAACAGCCAGCACTCAGGACACAGAAAAGTCTGATGCCAAATTACAACAAAAGGTATGTTATGTCCTCATGTCCTTGGCCACTTCTCCCTTTCTTCTTTGAAGGAAAATAAGTAGCTATGGATTGTTTGTTGGTAAGAATTTGTCAGCTATCTACTGTGACAGAGACAGTCTGGGCTGGTACGCACCTATAATCTCAGTACTTGGGGGTAGAGCAGGACCATGAGGAGTTCAAGACCAGCCTAGCCTCCACAGAAAGTTTGAGGCTAGCCTGAGCTATATAAGACCTGTCTCGAAAAAGAAAAACAGTGGTAACAGAGGAACAAAAATCCACATTGGTTTATAGTAGAAAGAAATACCTAATGAATAAGCGATCAAATGAACAAAATACTATCAAATAATTGTAAATGCCATGAAAAAGATATTGGGATAACTGGACCAATCCGTTTTTAAAACCTACTCTCTGCCAACCATTGAAACTATTGTGTATACGTTTAAACAGTTCTTCAACTAATGTAGCAACTGTAGAAATACGATATTTAATAGAAATACAAAGTTCCATGATTCCACTAGCAAACTAGGTAAATGGGAAATCAGTGTGCACACACTTGGTAGCATTTGGATTCACCAAAAGATGGGGACTATACATACTGGAATATTCATAAACACCTGTGACAACTGTTTTTGCTTATAATTTGGGAACGAGTCTAGAAATTAAGCCTGTAACTTACTGAGTTAATAGTGTGATGATTATTTATAAACGTTGGTTCACTTTGGGTCTACACTGAAGCGAAAGGAGACAGATTGAAACTAGACATCATATAGAGTCAAAATGGATTGAGAATGAATGAGTACATAATAGAGTCTTATCTCAGGGAGACTCTAAGGTTCAAGGCCACTTTCTCTGATGTTTTCCACTAAAAAAAAATGTAGTTTCGGGGCTGGAGAGATAGCTCAGCGGTCAAGAGCCCTGGCTGCTCTTTCAAAGGTCCTGAGTTCAATTCCCAGCAACCACATGGTGGCTCATAACCACCCATAATGAGATCTAATGCCCTCTTCCGGCATGGAGGTGTACATGCAGATAGAGCACTCACATACATTAAAAAAATGTAGTTTTCAGATGGTAAACTTGTGCTTTCTCAACTATCCCAAGATCCCAGTGCTCCAAGAGCTACTTCCTAATGTAAGAGAAGCCACAGAGAGTTCAGGAAAGGAGAATGAGCCGGAGCCCCGGGAAGAGCACTCTGGAACAGTGGACTCTGCACCACCGGAGAGCATAGAAACAGAAAGCCTTGGGCTCACCAGGAAACTTGAAGAAAGTCGGGAAGCTGTCAGCTGTCTCACCAAAGAGAGAGATGACCTGAAAATAATACAAGAAGCACTTCAGGCCGAGTGTGCCCAGCTGAGAGAAGAGGCCAGAAAAACTTTAGCTAAGGTGAGTTTTTGTTTACTTTGGTTTTCTGAGACAGTCTCAAGTAGCCAGACTTGGTCTCGAATGCATAATTCTCCTGCCTCTGCTTCCCCAGGCCCGGGTGTAGTCATGTGTACCACTATGCTTGGGTAAAGTGACTTTCTTTCTTTCTACTTAACTAGTGTTTTTTCTGAATTAAGTTGTGTCACATTTAAACACATTGCTTGTGTCACATTTAAAATCTACTACTAACTTTCTGAAAATGTTTCCTAATTGTGGAGTGACTGGAAACAGAATAATTAAAAAATGGTACTAACTGTAAAGAAACAATTGAAACTGTCAGAATATATTTTCTCTTGAGTATCCAAAATTGACTTAAAAGAATCAGTGCTTTAATCACAGAAACCAGTAAACCAGAACAGTAAACCAGAAAACAGTAAACCAGAAAAAAAAAAAGTTTTCTTTCTTTAAAAACACCCCCCCCCCCACATACACACACACACAACCCCATTTTCTGCCATGCCTGGTGAAGAGAACTGTACTCTCGGGACTTTGGGTGGCTGTGACAGGACTGTATCAAGGCCAGGCCGAGCCAAACAAGTAAGATCCTGCTTTATCAAAACCTTTTTCTCTTATGAAGTATTCCTGTCTTCATTGCTTTTGTTAGAAACCTGGAAATCATCCCTACTCTTCCTTTGTCTTCCCGTCACTCACTCTGTAATTCAGTTTCTGTACACTGTGCGTTTGTGTGCACGTGCTCATATGCATGTAACCAACATTAAAACCCTCCCGTTTTTCTATCCACATTATCCACCATAATATAGGATTACCATTATTTCCTTGTCACTCCCCACATTCACTTTGTTTTAAGTCTGTTTTTATTATGTTATGTCTATGTGTGTTTTGCCTGCTTGTATGTCTGTTTACCACATGTGTGCCTGATGCTCGAGGAGGTGATGAGCTTCCACATGCATGCTGGGAATTGAATCCAGGTCCTTTTCAAAATCAAGTGCTCTTAACCACTGAGCCAACTCCCCAGTCCTGCTAATTCATTCTTACACATGACTAACACAGTTGCCATTCTGGGACAAAGTGTTTTCTTCTTGAACTTGTTTACTGTATTACTGTGACCCGTGAGTCCCCAGATCATAGATCCCACTGGTGTCTTGCCTTCCTTGGCTCTTCTATAATCTTATGTACGTCTCAGGACTTCTAATGCTCCAATCATCCCCTCACCTGGAGTACTCACACACCTTTGTGTAACCAGTGTTTTCATTCTTCAACTCTCAGATTTCTTTCCCCTAGGAAGCCCTTCCTAATGACCCATGATACTAAGTATGCCAGGCATCAATGCCCTGAATAGCCTAGCTCCTCAGTTTGGTGAGATTCGGCATGGTATCTGTCTTTCTCCTTAAAGTATGATTCGGGCAGAAGTCATGGGGCTGGGGGACAAAAAGCCTTTATCTAATGGGCTATTTGACAATAAAGTGAGCTTTTAGTTAAAGCATGTTAGCTACCTGCAGAATGAGAGAATGCGGAAAGATTACTCTGTAAATAAGCCATTGGATCCTATCTCCATAACATAAGAAAATGCCTTAATTTCTTTTCTTCTGTAATTGTCTTTAGCTATCAAATGTATTGTCTTGGAATTCTCCTAAGATGCAAGAAGCATCTTAGGATGCTTAGCATCTTACACAAAACAGTCTCTCAGTGTGGAAGGAAAGGACAGTGAGTTTACCAAAGTGGTGAGTGGGGCGGGACAACAAAGGGAGAGTGCAAAGGCAGAAAGTCAGCATCAAGTATCGCTGAGGGAAGAAGCAGAAATGCTCAAATTGGTAAATATTTAGAGTTAATATTTAGGATTATTCTGGTTTAGTAAAGAGATGTTTACAGATTCTCTTCCACGATCCAGGACTTCACCAGCCCCGAGTAGCTGCTTAGGTTTCTAGAACTAGGCATTATTTTCCTCTTGTTGGGCTGGTCTTAAGTCCAATTAAAGAGCTGTTGGTTACCACCAAGCTATGTGTGCCAGCATTGTACCCTTGGGGTTACTGTGTTATGCAGGTTAAAGGTGAGAGATGGATTGCTGTGCCTGCACTGGGTTCTCCAGGCAGAGCTCGAGCAGTCCCTGCATCTCAGAAAAGTCACAGCTGAAATAGTTTCTTCTGTGCATGGTGTTTCTCAAGATACTTGACAAGCAAAGCTTTTCCTTATGACCAAATCTTTTCAAAAAGGGAATTAGTTATGCTATGATGCTTAAATTTCTATAATGTCTTCTACTTTTCTTTAATATTAAAGCACCTAGAAACTGAAGAGGAACTTAACCTTGCTCATCGTTCCCTGAAAGACCAAGAGAACAAAATTGACACACTAATAGTGAGCCTCTCCCAAAAAGAAACTGAGCTGTCAAGTATTCAGGCACAACTAGAGTCAACCACTGATGAACTAGAGAGAAAGGTAAATTGAAAGCAAGAAGCAGTGGGAGGAATTGAGGCAGTTGCTACAGTGAAGACCACTGTTTGAGCACTGAATTATTTTGGAACCTATTTTGTACTTTTCTTTAAAATAGTTGAGAGGGAGAGAGAAAAAGTGTGTGTGTGTGTGTGTGTGTGTGTGTGTGTGTGTGTGTGTGTGTG